ATTTTAGATAAAAGAATTTCATGCCTGAATTCTTGTCTACGTGTAAGGAAGTTAAATATTTTTTGCAGCTATTAGATTAATAGTAAACTTATTTATTAACCCTTAAGTTCTTTGTAATTACTTATTCAATAACATACTTAAAACTGTGTAATACTTAATTGAATTCATAAGTTTTTTAAGTCACATAACATAATGTAAAAAATAAGGCAACTGATTAGAAAACAATAGTATTATAAGATATTAGAAAACGATAGTTTTCGCTGCTATAATTCCCCTAATGATTACTGTAGAAGACACACTCTACTTTTTGCTTACAGATTTGTACCATAATCAACAAATATAAATACACCATGAGTGTGTCTGCAATGAATTTGAGTGGAATATAAAACGATGGGATAAACCACTATACTGGAATGGGAGATGAACTGTGTGGGACGAACATTTTTCCTGAGTGATTACTGACAAAAATGCATGTATCACATTGCATTCGACGATATATCAACTATTTTGAATATCAGATCAAAAAAAAAGAAGAAAAAGCAAGTGACACAGACAGGAATCAATATCACTCTGTTAAAATTACATCTGAATTCAATTTAATGAGAAATATTTAAAAAACATGTCAAAGTTAGATAAAATTCATGTTTTAGATATGTTTCAACAAAATATTGTAATAATGAGAAAGTTACGTACATCTCATCTTTAAGTTTTTGTTGCATTTTATAAATTAAGAGTAAAATAAATTGCAAAAATTATTTACAAGAAACTTTGAATGTCCATGGATTGGAAAGCAGCAACAGGTACGAAATAAGAGTGACAGTTTCTTCAAGTTTAAATTCTCTCATTGCCGTAATAAACAATATAGTACCTTAACCCATCTTAACCTTTAAGCCACGACTGTCGCATGTAGATCGAGTTTCATTGCGATACATCATTAGTCGAGATGCGATCTATCGACTTTAATTTTTTAAATGTCATATGATTTTCGTGCGTATTTCATTTAATTTTTAAGCACACAGAATTTCTTTTTTAGTAGAAAATAATATTTTAACAATGTTGGATCAAGTTCTAAAAAAAGATTCTATTTATGTTAATCAACGAGACCAGTTGAAATTATTACATGTTGAATGGTCAACTTTATCAGAGAGTACAATATCAAATGTTCAAACAACAGTTTTTCGAAAGATACGCTCGGAAAATCAGATCGAGTCGAATGTAAATTACGACGACCTGTGTGGACCTTGGGTTTACTCAACAAATCCTTTTTATAATCGATACGTTGAACCACCTAAACCAAGCTTATGTATTTGGAAATATTTTACAGAAGAAGATTTAATTTATTTGAGAGAACATCAAGAAAATAAGGACACCATACGTACTTTCTTTGGTAAATAAGCATTAATGTTGTTTTTTAGTCGATGTCAGCGCGTCTTAATAAAATAATTCACTGTTTTCTTGTTTGCAGAAAATAAGTTGTCGAATGCGACTGCGGGGACAAATAATACTGTTTTTATAAATTTGTTATGGGAATTTTTCAAGTTTGCTAGGTATTCGAATATACTAAATTTATAAATAAGTAACTTACATATATTGTCTTAAAAATCAGTTTCATATTACACAAAAGGAAAAGTATACTGATTTCCATTCATACCTAATAATTTCACATTTGCGATATGATATTTTTTAAGTTAAATGCATACGTCAAAAAATAATTCATAAATGAACATTTATAAATTGTGTTTTAGATTAAATTTATTCACCGAGAAAAGCATGTCCGCATGCTTGGGAATTATATACTTAACACATACATTTTTTCTTTCTTATCCATGGTTAACTGCCAAACAAGTTCATGAATTTTTCTATAAAACCGTTTTACTACATGTTATTGTGGTTGGTATATTTGTTTATTAGACAATTTGTCCGTTACATGTTTTATAAATGCGAAAAATTTCTAAAAATATTCACTTTAAATGCTGTTAAAATATTAATACTTGATAATTTAAATCTTATTAATAATATGATTTTTAGTATCCTGCAGAGAGTTTAGAAGTATTTACTGTAAATGAATGCAAACTTTTATTTAAATTATTTCACAAGGTATATATAGGTAACCTTGTATTATTTCATCTCGTGTGTCATCCAAGTTATCATTTTACTCTGAGGCTACAATTCCCCGAAAGTCCAACTGCGAGCGATTCATAAAACATTCCGCAAGTAAATTATATTATACCTTACATACTCCTATACTTTAAATTGTATAAATACGAAGTTCTAAAATATATCTAAAATATAATTATAGAAGATAACGTCAAGGAGATGAGTAGATAATTTAATTGTTCGTACTACCGTTATAAAATACGATTATTTTTCATTCTCAGCAATCTGTACGCGCTCATTTACTAGTAGATGACTGATATCCGCAATCATGATTTTCTTCTGATCCAATGTCTGCACTTTTTCTGTTAAAATAATTCTCATTGCATTCTACGCTGCTTTTCCGTAATTCGTTTACCAAATATTTCATTCTAGGAAACCACCAACCATTGCCATGAACCGATATGCGTCGTGTTGCTTTTACAACATTTTTCTGGACAAAAAGAATCATGCAAATTTCTATTAATGAAGATTAATATGATGAAGAGTAAATGTCTGCATTCAAGTTTAAGTTGACTAAAATATG